TCATCAGGTGTGGTACATCAAGTCTAAGAGAAACATAACCATGATTTCAGAAGAATAAAGGGGGTGTGAATTCTTGAGTTCATCACTTTTTACCAGAGTGCAAAATTTTCTTTGTTTGTAGAGTACATGTATACTTTCTCTCTTGCAGAAAATAACTTCTGAGAGATATGTTTCTCAATGTAAGTCTTGGAACAGCAGGTGGATGAATCTCCGCATAAACCATGTCACTATCAAAAGAATGTACCGTAGCATAACTATCTTTTAATTACCCTAGACTAGTATATATTGTTTTTTTTTTTCATTTCAGTTTTATGTGTCACCTAAGTTAGCTAGCATTGTCCTTGGTATTGTCCCACCAGTAGCTATTGCCATTATTATCTATGGACGTTATCTGCGTAACATCACTAAGAGAACTCAAGACTCTTTAGCAGGATCTACTCAGGTGTGTTTTTTTTTTTCTTTTCAACTTCAAACATAACTGATACCTCACTTTTGTAGAATATTTTGAGCCTCAGGTAGCTTGCTTAAGCCTCTCGATTTCTCCATGGGTTTCCTCCCCTTGTGCTAAATTGTCAGTTATATTATTATTAATGTTCATGTTATTCTTTGTATTTCTATCAAATTATGTGTTATAATTACCAAATGGCAAAGTAAACAAATAAACAATATTAAGTAATAAACAAAAAAGGGACTTCAGAAGTACATTAGGATGAATGCATTGAATTGCATATTAAATTGACCTCCATTAGGCTGTTAAGTTTGTATCTGCTCAAGAAATGAATGAATTGGCTGATAAAAAAACTTTTGTAACTTATCGAGAGAGAGACCATCTTACCTTGACTTACAATAGTGCAAAAAGCACATTTTGAAAAACTGCTATTTTGATTACAAAGTGCTGGCCAACACTTAAAATTAGTTTTCAAATAGAATTTACGATAGATGTTATTATTATTATTTTGCTTAAACATTTAAGGTTGCAGAAGAAAGAATAAGCAATATACGAACAGTGAGAGCATTTGGACAGGAGATGAAGGAAATTGAAAGGTGAGTTTCCTAAGGTAGGAAGGTATTTTTCAAAATATCCACATGATTGTTATGATTAACAAATAACTTGCATGATGCCATGCATCTGTTCAGTAACAGATTACAGACAATGCCAAAATGTGATAATGAACAAAATAGTGGCACACGAGACACAGCAGAGTTTGTCACTGAATGTTCTTACCATGTGTGGATACCTTCTGTGATCATTTAATAAATATTACATGTAGGTAATTTTTGTTAGAGGACACATTTGCTTGGATGAGAGTTACCCTCCCTCCTCTCCCCTTTCTAAGCAGTTTTGTCATGTTCTCCTGATAATTTGCTTGTATCTGTATACAATTCTGAGAGGAGAGGGTACTTTAAGAGGTCACTATCTCGTCCATGAACACCAGGTACTCTTTGACCCCAGCCATCTCTTTGACTCAATAAAACAGTTTTGATGCTTTCATCCAAAATGGACAACGAGTTCTATTTTTAGGTTATTCCAAGTTTGTTTTATTTCAGAATATGAAACAAAAAGTTTTTATCAACTGTCTAGTGAGGACTCAGTGTCTTTTATTCATTTGTTTGTGCTAATTTTTGTTTTATTTTTATTATTTTTGCAAATGCAGATATGCAGACAGTGTTGAAGATGTTTTCAAGTTGGCAAAGAAAGAGGCACTTGCCAGAGCAGTGTTCTTTGGATTTGTAAGTTTTCTGGTTGTTTTTTCATAAGGTGCAATTGCAATTATATGATGAAAGCGTTCAAGTAAATATTTGCTTTAGTTCTCCTTTAATGGGACACATACTGTTATTTGTGTTACAGACAGGGCTGTCAGGTAATGCCATCATGCTCTCTGTGTTGTATAGTGGTGGCATGATGATGACAAGCGCTCAGATCTCTGTCGGTGATCTTACATCTTTTCTGCTCTATGCCGGATTTGTGGGAATCTCATTTGGGGGTGAGTGAATTATTCCAAAACTAGAAACTAAATAGAACCAAACTTTAAGCTGCTATTTCTGTCATGT